CCTCGGGCGCCGCCACTGGCGCGCTCCGCGTGCCAGGGGAGGGGGGTCCAGCGCAGACCCAACAGTTTCTGTTTATGTTTTTTTTTCTTCTTCTAGTAATGGGGGAGGGGTATACATCGACTAGACTCGAGAGTGACCTTTTGCCAGAGTGATCTTTGATGCGGGCCCGATGGGGTCCCCCGATAGCCGAGCGCGAAGCGGTAGCACCGGCTTGCGTGCCCAGGTTTGGTCACCCCGCGTCCCTCGTTAAGCCGCGCACCAAGGGTCACCCTTGCCCATAGCCATTCTTGCGCGTAGCCGATCACATTTTCACGTCGCACCACGGCAGAGGCGATCAGTCCGGACGCTCGACTTGTCGGTGGCGCGCGACAAATTGCTTTGCCCAGCAGCACTAGACGGCGCGGGGAGGCGGTGGCACGACAGGGCGCGGGGAGGAGGGGCGGCCGCAAAGGACAGGAGGGAGGAGGAGGGCACTCACGGCTGCAAGCGCTTCAGGGTGAGATTCGCGCTGGAGGGTTCAGCCCGGACTGAAGTGCCATGGCAGTGGACGCGGCACGGCATCATGGCCACACCACCCAGGGGCCGAAGCCAGGGCTGCAGGCGCTGGAAACCATGGGGGGACCCATTGGGGGGAGGTGAAGGAAAGGTGAACTCCTTGTGCCCTGGAGTTGCACTAATGAGCCCCCTGGGGCCTCAAAAGGGCACGAACGGTGCACGGTTCTCCCCCCCCCGCCGCCCCCCCAATTGTCGCCCCTTGAGAAAGTAGCGCCCGAATCTTTGCTTACCGCTGCTTGTTGGCACGGCAGGGGGTTAGTTATGAAGGAGCACCCTCTCATCCCTCCTCCTCCCTTCTCCTCCTCCTCCTCCTCCTCCTCCTCCTCCTCCTCCTCCTCCCCCTTCTTCTCCTCCTTTTCTTCCTCTTCCTCCTCTTCCTCCTCCTTCTCCTCCTTCTCCTCCTGCCCCCCGCCGACTCGCGTCCCCCGCTCTGTTTGGCCAGCGGCAGCATCGAGGAACTCGGTGTTCGCGTCGCGCTTCAGAGAGCAAGCGGACAGCATTGCGATCCCGTCGGGCAGGTTCTACCCGAGAGGGGCGATGGTATCCGCGTCCCTTCCCCCATCATTCACAGATGGCACGTTTGGGGAACAATCCAGCGAACTGCTGGTCATCATCGTCACCGCCAACGCTGATCATGGGGGGAATGGAGGTATTTCCACACGGGAGTGGAATGCGTGTTCGTACCTTTTTGTCCGAGGCGTGTATCAGGTAGGCCTGACATGACTACGAATTGGTTTGTGCAAAGCCAGATATCATTGACGACAGAAGAGCCCATACAGCAAGCAAAGCAGCCATTCCATCCAGAACCGATGCACCGGCGAGTTATCGTAAGGCCTTCGTGGAGGCCTCACATGTGCAGATAGCAGGCCATTCAGTTACGATGCCCAGGCTTTTTGCCCTGCTCAAGGGAGCGTACTGGAATGCATTGGAACATCCACCATGAGGAGCTGACGTGCACCGGATCCTGCCTAAGAACGACGAGCCCATGCGGCAATGCGTCAATTTCATCCAGGACTTTTGCCCACGCAAGTTGTCGTAGGAACATCGTGGAGATTTTTAGAGCCATCTAGGGATAGGAGGAGGAGAAGGAGGAGGAGGAGGAGGGGGAGGAGGAGGGGGAGGAGGAGGAGGAGGGGGAGGAGGAGGAGGAGGAGGAGGAGAAGGAGTAGGATGATGATGATGATGTTGTTGATGATGATGATGATGATGCTGATGATGCTGATGTTGATGGTGATGGTGGTGATGATGATGAATATGTTATTAATTATGATGCTGATTATGCTGATGATTATGATGATGCTGATGCTGATGCCGAGGATGATGATGAGGATGATGCTGATGACGAAGATGACGTTTAGTATTATGATGACGATGTTGCTGCTGATGATGATGACGAGGATGATGAGGATGATGATTATGAGGACATTGATGATGATGATGATGATGAGGATGATGATGATGAGGATGATGAGGATGAGGATGAGGATGAGGAACATGATGATGCTGCTGACAATGGTGATGATGGTGATGATGATGGTGATGATGAGGATGATGATGATGATGATGATGCTGATGATGATGATGATGATGATGATGATGATGATGACGATGATGACGATGACGATGACAATGACGATGCCGATGATGATGATGTTGATGATGAGGAGGAGGAGGAGGAGGAGGAGGAGGAGGATGAGGATGAGGATGATGATGATGATGAGAGGAGTAGGAGGAGAGAGTCTGAATGCGGATGCTTACATGAGGTACTCGATGACGCTGACAGAGGCGAGGAGTGGGGAGGAGGAGAGAAGGAGGAGGAGGATGAGGAGAGGAGGGGGAGGATGAGTAACATGTTTATGAGGAGGAGAAGTGGGAGGAGGAAGAGGAGGGGAAGGAGGAGAAGGAGAGGGAGAAGGAGAAGGAGAAGGAGAAGGAGCTGGTGGAGGAGGAGGAGGAGGAGGAATGAGGAGGAGGAGGAGGAAAAGGCCCTCGTGTATGTTATGTTCTGAGAGGACAGTTGGGGCCATGTGATGGCCATCCAGGGGTCCGCTTGTGACTTCTCGGGGCCCTCTTGGGGACTTCTTGAAGCCCTCCTGGGGCTCGTTTGGGGAGGCACGCGACCCTCTGGAGGGTGTCTCGGGGCCGTCGTGGGGCGATCTTGGGTCCCATGGCTCTAAGGTGGGGCTCCTCAATTCGCCCCCCCCCCCCCCGTCCATAGGCCTAACATTGAGGTTGCACTGCCTTCTCTGTGTCATCTCGCGGTGAGGACGCGGGGCGGACGGTGACGGGGACAAGGAGGAGGACTTTGACGCCTGTTGCCCTCTCGCCCCGGCCGGTGCTCGGCGCCAGGCACTTCTACGCGGTCAAGTGCCTCCAGAAGCGTGACGAGTTCGGCGAGGAGAGCGACGCCAGGAGTCGCCCGCGTTCTCTCGTGCCGAGGCGCCCCAGGGTGGCCTCGGGGCGGCCCACGACGGGGCCACTCACTCACGGAAGGGCCTTTGGTTCTTCACGGCGCGAGGGAGAAGCTTGGGATGCCGACGGCGCCCTCTCCCTGCCCCCCCCCCCCCCCCCAGAAGAGAACCTGCTAGCGATCCTTCACGACGCAGGAGCACGTCCAGGGGCCCCCCCCTCGACCTCCACCTTGGCGCCGCCCGCGGGGCAGCTGCTGCGCCGCGGGCGCCGTCGGCGGCACCCGCCACTCCTCCCGACCTTGCCCTGCAGCCAGGATGCTGAACTACAGTGGGGGCCCATGCCAAGAAACACCCTTCTCGCCTCCAGGGCGCCCTGGGTTTCTTGGGCTTCGATGGGCTTGCGATGAAAAGCGTGACGTTCCCGCACCGATCAATGGATGTCCTTGGGTCTCAGGGTCGTGTTTCTTGTGGAGGGTTTCTTGTGGTCGGGCCCCTGCTGTACAGCCGAGATGCTGAACTAAGGAACAGCTTGGCTTGGGAGGGGGCTCGACGTCCCAGAGGTCCTTCCATGGCTGTTTCTCCAGCGCTCCTCGTCCACGCAGGCGCCTTCGGGGCCAGAGAGGGGCCTGGTGCCTCTGCTGGCACGCCTTCTTTCAGCAACCCGACTGCTGGCAATCCGTATCCGCGCCCTCGCGGTCTGGACTCCGGGGCGCGATCCCGCCGCGAATTACTCGGTCGCACGGACACGGTCCGCGCGGATCATACGCGAAAAAAAGCCAGCATCCGCGGGGTCGCGGCCCAGGGGCCGTGGCCGCGAGGCCGCGGATACGGAGTTCGTGTCTCGCCCAAGAGGCACGGCACCAGCGGAAGGGGTCCGACGAGCACCTTTTGCAGGACAGCGACGCCAGGAGAGCGGCACCAGGAGTTGCCGTTGCTTCCCCCCCAGGCGTCCCAAGGCTGTCTTGGGGCGGGCCACGACAGGGCCACGGCACTGCCGGGAGAGGCCCGATGAGCACCTCCCAGAAGGCCCCGAAGAGACGAACATCAGAAGTCGGCGGCGGGCGCCAGGGGGGGAGTAGGAGGGAGGCAGGCCTTCTCGGAAGGCGGCGAGGCTTCTCAGGAGCCCTCGCGCCTTCTGAGAAGCCCTGTGAGCCTTCTCCGAAGCCACAGACGGCTTCCCAGAAGGCGCGAGGCCACCTGAAAAACCCAGACGCCTTCGGAGAGAGACTGCCCCCTCCCACTTCCGCCGTGGCGCTGGCCGCCGAACAAGGCAACCGTGGATTTTCATCCGTTTCTCGGGGGCCCCCCCTCCTTGTCGGGGCGGACGCCCAGATCTGGCTCGGGAGCCTCCTCACGCTCCCAGGCCCTTTGCGTCCTTGCGGCCCTTGTCGTCGCCGTCGTCGTCCTTTTTCCCAACCATCCTGTGGTGTTGGGTCCTCGTTTTGAAGAAACGGTCCCCGCGTCTCCTCTCCTCTCCTCCTCCTCCTCCTCCTCCTCCTCCTCCCCCTCCTCCTCCCTCCCCCCCCTCTTCCCTGCGTTTCACCCACCCAGTACAACGTTTCGTAGCCCCATAGGAGCTCCACCAATGGCCCCAGTACCCGCGCCCGCATGCGTCACCCACACCCAATTCGGCACACCCCTCACACGTTTCGTGGCTCCATAGGGAGCTCCACCGAAGGCCCCAGTGCCCGCGCCCGCATGCGTCACCCACACCCATTTCGGCACACCCCTCACACGTTTCGTGGCTCCATAGGGAGCTCCACCGAAGGCCCCAGTGCCCGCGCCCGCATGCGTCACCCACACCCATTTCGGCACACCCCTCACACGTTTCGTGGCTCCATAGGGAGCTCCACCGAAGGCCCCAGTGCCCGCGCCCGCATGCGTCACCCACACCCATTTCGGCACACCCCTCACACGTTTCGTGGCTCCATAGGGAGCTCCACCGAAGGCCCCAGTGCCCGCGCCCGCATGCGTCACCCACACCCATTTCGGCACACCCCTCACACGTTTCGTGGCTCCATAGGGAGCTCCACCGAAGGCCCCAGTGCCCGCGCCCGCATGCGTCACCCACACCCATTTCGGCACACCCCTCACACGTTTCGTGGCCCCATAGGGAGCTCCGCCGAAGGCCCCAGTGCCCGCGCCCGCATGCGTCACCCACACCCATTTCGGCACACCCCTCACACGTTTCGTGGCTCCATAGGGAGCTCCACCGAAGGCCCAGTGCCGCCGCCCGCCGTCCCACACCCATTTCGCACCCCTCACACACATGCGTCCCGCGCCCGCATGGGTCCCCACACCCATTTCGGCACACCCCTCACACGCTTCGTGGCTCCATAGGGAGCTCCACCGAAGGCCCCAGTGCCCGCGCCCGCATGCGTCACCCACACCCATTTCGGCACAACCCTCACACGCTTCGTGGCTCCATAGGGAGCTCCACCGAAGGCCCCAGTGCCCGCGCCCGCATGCGTCACCCACACCCATTTCGGCACACCCCTCACACGCTTCGTGGCTCCATAGGGAGCTCCACCGAAGGCCCCAGTGCCCGCGCCCGCATGCGTCACCCACACCCATTTCGGCACACCCCTCACGACGTTTCGTGCCCATAGGGAGCTCCGACCGAAGGCCCCAGTGCCCGCGCCCGCATGCGTCAGCCACACTCATATCGGGGCACACCCCCTCACACTTTTCGTGGGTCCGTGGATAGGGTAGCTCCACCGAAGGCCCCAGTGCCCGCGCCCGCATGCGTCACCCACACCCATTTCGGCACACCCCTCACACGTTTCGTGGCCCCATAGGGAGCTCCACCGAAGGCCCCAGTGCCCGCGCCCGCATGCGTCACCCACACCCATTTCGGCACGCCCCTCACGCGTTCCGTGGCCCCATAGGGAGCTCCGCCGAAGGTCCCAGTGGGTGGCCCGCATGCGTCCCCACACCCATTTCGGCACACCCCTCACACGTTTCGTGGCTCCATAGGGAGCTCCACCGAAGGCCCCAGTGCCCGCGCCCGCATGCGTCACCCACACCCATTTCGGCACACCCCTCACACGTTTCGTGGCTCCATAGGGAGCTCCACCGAAGGCCCCAGTGCCCGCGCCCGCATGCGTCACCCACACCCATTTCGGCACACACCCTCCACACACGCATGCGTCGTCGGGCCCCATCCAGGGAGCTCCACCGAAGGCCCCAGTGCCCGCGCCCACATGCGTCACCCACACCCATTTCGGCACACCCCTCACACGTTTCGTGGCTCCATAGGGAGCTCCACCGAAGGCCCCAGTGCCCGCGCCCGCATGCGTCACCCACACCCATTTCGGCACACCCCTCACACGCTTCGTGGCTCCATAGGGAGCTCCACCGAAGGCCCCAGTGCCCGCGCCCGCATGCGTCAGCCACACATTTCTGCACACCCCTCACACGTTTCGTAGCTCCATAGGGAGCTCCACCGAAGGCTCCAGTGCCCGCGCCCGCATGCGTCAGCCACACCCATTTCGGCACACCCCTCACACGCTTCGTGGCCCCATAGGAAGCTCCGCCGAAGGCCCCAGTGCCCGCGCCCGCATGCGCCAGCCACACCCATTTCGGCACGCCCCTCACGCGTTCCGTGGCCCCATGGGGAGCTCCGCCGAAGGTCCCAGTGGGTGTGCCCGCATGCGTCCCGCACACACATTTCGGCACACCCCTCACACGTTTCTTGGCCCCATAGGGAGCTCCACCGAAGGCCCCAGTGGGTGTGCCCGCATGCGTCCCGCACACCCATTTCGGCACACCCCTCGTACGTTTCGTGGCCCCGTAGGGGGCTCCACCGAGAAGATATTCACAATTGCAGTATTCACAATTGCATATGGTTGGGTCCTTCGCCAGGATAATGTCATCCTCGTCCTCCTGCCCGTCCTACTCCTTCCCTCTCCACTCTTCCTGGTACTCCTTATCTTTTTCCTCATCATCTTTGCCGCCCTCTTCCTCTCATTTGTCTCCTTTTCTCGATGTCCTCGCTCTTCTCGTTCTTCATATGCGCCTCATCCTTACTGTGCTCGTTCACGTCGTCCTCAGTTCCTTCTTCTCGTTACCGTCGCCCTCCTCCTCTTCCACCTAATTATCCGTCGTAGTCTGCAGCATGAGTGACTCCGCGATGGTGGCACGGGCTTGGCTCAAGTATCGGACCTGGCAATGTGCAGTTTTAGATCGGATGACACTTTTGCGTTGCCACGGCAATGGTGTTGACAAGTAGCGTAGCATCGATATAGCTTTGTGGTGTGCGTAGCGACGCGTCATTGTTGACGGCTTCTTTGTAGTCGTTTTTCGGTTATAAGTATCCATCGTTTCGCCAACCGTTGTCTCTCCACACTCTTACATGTGCGCAATGTTGTTCATGATTACTGGTGTTCGTCATTGTGTCCGTTTGCTACTTCATGTTTCCATGAAGGTATCTCCGTTGCTCGATGGCATGTTTCCACCCCGTCTCTCCTGAAGCGCTTGTCTCCCCAAACCAGCTCTCCTTCCTTCGGTATCCGTCCCATCTAGTGTCTCTAATCCAGCCGTTCTCAAGCAATTGTGTCTTGGTTTATGCTCGTCCTGTCTGTATATTATGTAACATGTGCTATACCTCCCCTCCCGTTTTGCTGGGCGTCCCTGGAACGCAGCTTTTGCCAGGACACAGAACATCCGCAGGGAGGCCTGGGTGATGCAGCAGATGCGCCACTCACTCAACGTAATACATTTGCACGAGGCAGTCTCAGTAACTTTAATGCATTGCGCATGCAGTCTTCGTCGTTGCTTTCCTTGTTGTTGATCACATTCTTATAATGCCGGATCTCTCCTCTCATTTTTCCATTTGCCCCCCTTCCTCCCCCTTCCTTCGTGTCTCCACTGGTATGTATCATGAGTCGCCTCCGCCACGGTCGCGCACTTTCGGTCTCGCGGCGTTCGGGCCTCGCGCTTCTTTGATGACGCGCGCCGACGTCCCTTGAGTTCTTTCCGATCCGTCGTCGCAGGTCTGCTCATTGCGCGCTTCGCCCTAATGAGTGGGCGCGGTGCGTGGCCGTGGCGAGTCTCGGTTTTCGCCCGCCGTGCCCGCCCTGCCAATTGTCTCCCTTCTCTCCTCCTCGCTTGTCCTTTCTTCACGCACGCCGCACGCTCGTTCCTCTTTCAGGCCACGGTTCATTGCATGAGTGGGCGAATGGGGACAGAGCGTTTACCATGGTTTAACATGTTTTCGTGACGGGCAAGTTGAGGACGAATGTGACACATCGATGTCAAAAGGATCAGGGCATCCGTGGGGATCCGTGGCGGCATGCGAAAGGAGGGGTGGGGGGACAAAGCAGCGGAGCAACGCTTGGACGAACGTGTTAATTCGTGTGTCCTGGTTACCGTGGTGCCGTTTGCTGCTTCGCCACCCTGCCCAACATTAAAAGTACGTACACGCCTACGGCTAACACATGGCATGGCTAAGGCATACTTCTGAGTAACGTTTGGAGGCGTTCGTTCGGCACACTGATTTAATCTCTTCGCTCATTCCGCCGTCCCGTAATGTGCCATCGCAGGCGTTTGCTTGCGCGTTCGTGGCCTTTCGGGGCCCGTTGGGGGCCGTGAGGGTGCTTGTTTGGTACACTCATTCATATTACATGCTCTGGCTCGCGCTATTGATCTTCAGTGTTTGGTGTGCGTGCTATCGTGGACGGTACTGGAGCCGTTGCAGATACATCGGTCGTCCACCATTGTTGCGAATTCGTGGGGTATTGGCTTAGTTTGCGCCGTCGTAAGGTACACTTCGGTTTTTTTGGGGGCTGTCATCCTTGTAACTACCCCGTGACCAACTCGACCTGTTTGTTTACACTCGCGCCCATGCGTTCTACGGTTGTGAATCTTAGAGTGGCGTTTGTTAAACCTTTTGGGCCCTAATCGCGATAGGTGTTCCAGACTCCGCCCCAGTCACGGAAACGAACTATCGTTGCGACGCCACAAATGACGGAATGAGGCCCCACCGATATTGTAAATTATCCCGGCAAAGCAACCTAACAGCGATGTGTAGGAGCATATCTGGAAGCATTACCCTTTAGATTCGGATGAGAATCCTGTTGTAGAATTCTGCTGTTCTCGCAGTCGTAGTCGCATTCGCGATGGCAGTCGCAGTGGCAACGGCAGTCGCAGTCACAGCCTCAGCCTCAGCCTGCCTCAGCCTCAGCCTCAGCCTGCCTCAGCCTCAGCCTCAGCCTGCCTCAGCCTCAGCCTCAGCCTGCTTCAGCCTCAGCCTCAGTCTGCCTTCAGCCTCGGCCTCAGCCTCAGCCTGCCTCAGCCTCAGCCTGCATCAGCCTCAGCCTCAGCCTGCCTCAGCATCAGCCTGCCTCAGCCTCAGCCTCAGCCTGCCTCAGCCTCAGCCTCAGCCTGCTTCAGCCTCAGCCTCAGTCTGCCTTCAGCCTCGGCCTCAGCCTCAGCCTGCCTCAGCCTCAGCCTGCATCAGCCTCAGCCTCAGCCTCAGCCTGCCTCAGCCTCAGCCTCAGCCTCAGCCTCAGCCTCAGCCTCAGCTGCCTTCAGCCTCAGCCTCAGCCTCACCTGCCTCAGCCTCAGCCTCAGCCTCAGCCTGCCTCAGCCTCAGCCTCAGCCTCAGCCTGCCTCAGCCTCAGCTGCTTCAGCTCCTCAGCCTCAGTGCCTCAGCCTCAGCCTTCAGCCTCATGCCTCAGCCTCCTCAGCCTCAGCCTCAGCCTCAGCCTCAGCCTCAGCCTCAGCCTCAGCCTCAGCCTCAGCCTCAGCCTCAGCCTCAGCCTCAGCCTGCCTCAGCCTCAGCCTCAGCCTGCTTCAGCCTCAGCCTCAGTCTGCCTTCAGCCTCGGCCTCAGCCTCAGCCTGCCTCAGCCTCAGCCTGCATCAGCCTCAGCCTCAGCCTCAGCCTGCCTCCTCAGCATCAGCCTGCCTCAGCCTCAGCCTCAGCCTGCCTCAGCCTCAGCCTCAGCCTGCTTCAGCCTCAGCCTCAGTCTGCCTTCAGCCTCGGCCTCAGCCTCAGCCTGCCTCAGCCTCAGCCTCAGCCTCAGCCTCAGCCTCAGCCTGCCTCAGCCTGCCTCAGCCTCAGCCTGCCTCAGCCTCAGCCTCAGCCTGCTTCAGCCTCAGCCTCAGTCTGCCTTCAGCCTCGGCCTCAGCCTCAGCCTGCCTCAGCCTCAGCCTGCATCAGCCTCAGCCTCAGCCTCAGCCTGCCTCAGCATCAGCCTGCCTCAGCCTCAGCCTCAGCCTCAGCCTCAGCCTGCCTCAGCCTCAGCCTGCCTCAGCCTCAGTGCCTTCAGCCTCGGCCTCAGCCTCAGCCTGCCTCAGCCTCAGCCTCAGCCTCAGCCTCAGCCTCAGCCTCAGCCTCAGCCTGCCTCAGCCTCAGCCTCAGCCTCAGCCCTCAGCCTCAGCCTCAGCCTGCTCAGCCTCAGCCTCAGCCTCAGCCTCAGCCTCAGCCTCAGCCTCAGCCTCAGCCTCAGCAGCATCAGCCTGCCTCAGCCTCAGCCTCAGCCTGCCTCAGCCTCAGCCTCAGCCTGCTTCAGCCTCAGCCTTCAGCCTCAGCCTCAGCCTCAGCCTGCATCAGCCTCAGCCTGCCTCAGCCTCAGCCTGCCTCAGCCTCAGCCTCAGCCTGCCTCAGCCTCAGCCTCAGCCTGCCTTCAGCCTCAGCCTCAGTCTGCTTTCAGCCTCGGCCTCAGCCTCAGCCTGCCTCAGCCTCAGCCTGCCTCAGCCTCAGCATCAGCCTGCCTCAGCATTTAAAATGTGGCCCGGGAATGGAGTTCTGGGAACTCGCAGAACACGAAGTGGCCTACAGTTGGCTCCGGGCATTCAAAAGGTGGCCAGGGAATGGAGTTCTGGGAACTCGAAGAGCACGAAGTGGCCTACAGTTGGCTCAGGGCATTCAAAAGGTGGCCCTGGAATGGAGTTCCGGGAACTCGAAGAGCACGAAGTGGCCTACAGTTGGCTCCGGGCATTCAAAATGGGGCCGGGAATGGAGTTTTGGGAACTCGAAGAGCACGAAGTGGCCTACAGTTGGCTCCGGGCATTCAGAATGTGGCCCGGGAATGGAGTTCGGGGACCTCGAAGACCACGCAGTGTGTAATTGTTGGCTAAAACAAGTCCCCGGCACCCTCCCCTGGATCGCGCCCAGACCTCCCTGGGGCGTCAGGATGCTCTCTTTTGATCCTACTAGAAACCTATCCGTCTTCGTTGTTAGGTAAAGACGTATTTCTCCGCGGCACCCGCCGCACAACAACGACGATTTTTACGATTACGATGTTGCTTGCCTGCGACCACGATACACTTATCTATATTACAATCCTCGCACAACCATACTCAACATTCTTTTGTCGCGCAGGTTAGCTTCGATAGCACTGTTCGCTGGGACACTGACCCCCCAAACAAATTATCAAGCGCGGCGAACATCAGTGGGAAACTAATCGGTGGCCCGCGACGCGGGCGCCGACTACGATTACGTTTACGTTTACGGAAACGATTACGATTGCAATCGCGACTACAAACACGATTGCCATCACGATTGCAACCACGACCAGAATCACGAGCACAACCACGAACACCTATTACAATTGCAAACTACATGATATGATGCTCACACATCCTCTCGCGTCCGGGGCATCCCACAATAGATTACTCCCCGGAAACATAACACCCCAGCATTATCCAGCCCGCCCAAACAGTAGAGGACAAATAATCTCCGCCTCGTCGACGACGACGACGCGACGACGACAACGACGACGACAACGACGACGACTACGATAACGACCGCGAATAATGCGATTCTTCGCCAGCGTGTTTGCGTGAGTTCCTGCTTGTTGTCGCTACGGCAGTAAGTTGATGTGATCATAGGCGTGTCTGCTCGCTTGCTTGTGAGCCCGCCTGTGCGTTTGAGCTTCAACTTGTCGACTCTTGGTCGCTCAGGCTTCCCATGTCTCGTGTTCGGTAAAAGTACGCTTATGTATGTCGATTGCGTCCGCAATTTACACTCTGGTAGCATCGCCAGTTGTAGACACACGACTGTATGATAGATCGGGGTAGTGATGCCTGGATCGTATTGAAGACAACGAGTGGATGTTCGTGAAAGTGGCACGTGGGGTGACATCCGTTCTATGGCAAGTTGTTGTTGTGGTGAACGGCGCGAAAGACATGGGAACAGGTGTTTGAGGACAACGAGCAGGTGTACATGGTGCTAGAATTATGTGAAGGAGGCGACCTCTGGACCCACAGGGAGATCGCGTCTGGGCAGTTCAGTGAATACCAGGCCATGGCGGCATAACTCGCATATTGGGCAGGAAGGCGGGCAACACATGAGGATGAGGGAAGGGAAACATTTTTGATTCGGACGAGGTGTTGCAATATTGCGCCCTGGTAGTTCAGAGGAAGGCACGGGAATCATAGCACATGCGCGCGTGAAGGAATAGCGTTGGACGGCGATGGTGATGGGTCTACGGAGCCGGGGAATGTGTGTGTGTGTGTGTGTTTGGGCGGGAGGGGCGCGGGCCATGCAATTTCGTAATTCTCTTTGACTTGCACACGCTACTTCAATGTGGCTGCCCCGGCCGGACTAAACCCGCAGCACGTCCAGCCAATCTTGAAAATTGTGCGTGTGATGGGTGAGGTTGTTCACTACACGTCGTCAGCCTGGATTGTTTTGTCCACTACAACGTGCGTTGTTGATCTCTCCGCGTTCTCATATTGTTTTAGCATGTACCCTCCCTCACCAAGCACGTTCGGATGTTGCCTTGCGCATGTCATGATTTCGCGCCTGATGTGGTGGCCTCTTGTCGAATCACGCGTTTCTTATTTACCTCTTCTGCAGTAGCAATTTGATTATTGATGGCGTTGGGGTCTTGGCAACGTTGCCAGGCTGCCTTTGGTTTCTGTGGGCCATCCCCAAGACTAGATTTGCAGTTCGGATGGTGCTGTGCAGCGATGGTCTGCAGCTGAAACCATGCCAGTGACATTCTGGCAGTCGCAAGTGTGTTTTTGGCCCGCTCGAGGGCACGCGATTGGTTTCGGCTAAGTCACGGCTGGTCTTCGCCTGACATTTCGATCCAAGTGTCTCATGCTGAAGACTTCAGTGGGGAGTCGAGAGTCTTCTCAAGTAATCGAGAATGATGCTTCTTGCATGCTACTACGCAGTGAGAGTGCCACCACGCGTAATCAGCTGGGGCAGGCTTGAACGTGTCCCAAACAGACTGCAGTATTCGTGATGTTGATGTTGTCATGATTACAAGTGCGGTGTTGAGCACACAGTTGCGATTGCCATAGCGGTGATGGCGGTGGTGATTGCGATTGCGAAATCGACGACCATGCCGAAAGTACTATCGGTGACGCTATCTGATCAACACCGTCTGTAACGAAGCAGTCCACAAAGTACCAATGCCATACACAGTTCATTATGCTTTGACCGTGTGAACGCTCATGGCATTGATAACGTTGATGCCTCCTCGAAGGCTTGGGTGGTATATGTTGAGTGTTCTGGTAGTCGCGTTGGGGTTCTCATGACCTTAGTTTTCGAATGGACTCTCGGCCATGTGGCTTCACAGGGGCTGGCTCACTCTTTGGTGCTGTCAGTCTATTGTCGGATCCCCTCGCATGTCCTCTGAATCTTCTTGTGCGTCCTCACATCCACTCGCCCTTCTCATCTTCCGGGTCTTCTGCTCGTCCCCTCCCACGTCGTCCCCTTGCACACTCTACTCGGCTCGCTCATTTGGACAGGGCTAGGACGATAATAAAGCCGTTCCATAGCGTCCCCGAACGCTCTCAGAGCATCCCGGAACGCTCTGAGAAGGCCGCGACGCCCGAGACATCTTCCAGAGCCGCCGGATCTCAGAGATTCTGGAGTTCTTTCGGAGGTTGATAGACCTCCTACCCTGACACGTCGATTAGTGAATTGGCCGTTTTCGGTTCGCGGGAGGGCGTCGCGGCCGTCATTTTTGCGGGTCCAGGTCCGTCGGTTTTGGTACCAGGCCGTTTTCATTAAAGAGTGGTTTACTAAAGGGAGGTTTGCCCACCGCCGATCCTTCTCACCCGATTCTGTCCTTTGTCCTGGCTTCGTCTTCCTGACCCTCCTTCCTGCTCGGGCAGTGCCCTCCGGCCCTCTTGCTTGGACCGCCTGGCTCGTCTTCGGTGCTCCCCGAGCGGCCGCCCTCCTCGGAGGCCGCGGGCATACTTCGAGCAATCCTCCGGGCCGTGGCGCCCGGGGCCGTGTGGAAAGCGGGGCCGCGCGTCCGGCCCGGCGGGGGGAGGGCGGCGCTGCGAGCGGGAGCGGGGGTCGGGAGGAGGAGGGCGGAGGCGGGGCGCGCAGGGCGCAGCGGCAGAATGCAGGAGAGGAGGGCGGGGTGAGGCCGAGGAGAGGGGCGGTCAGGAGGACGAGGCCAGTCTGCGTGAGAGGAGGAGGAGGAGGAGTACCTAAGGTTGACGCTTCACCGCCGGCAATTCGAGCTGTAGGTGAGCTACAGAGCTGTTCGGCACATCAATCGGAAGCAAATCATCAGGAGTGCTGGTCTAAAGTATCTAGGTGCTTGAGGTCGTTCTGCTACCAGAGCTGGGGCTAAAAAACTAGTTGTACTCTCGGAGAGAACTTGCGAGTCACAGCATAATGGATTCTTCACGCTTCGCGCATTTCCGCCAGCCCGTCCAGAAACCCTGCGCATAGGAGCTGTCGGGAAAAAGGACGAAGAGGCACATATATCGGGGCTGGACAGAACCCCCAACAGTGACACGTCGATTAGTGAATTGTCCGTTTTCGGCTTTCGAGAGGGCGCCGTGGCCGTTATTTTCCAGGCTTGCGCCCGCCGGGTTTGGGCCCGAGGTCGTTTTCACTAAACCACGTTTTGCTAAAGGGGATTCTGTCCATCCCCGAATATAGTGAAGCAAAGTGAACAGAGAGATCTCTGGGAGCAAGGGAGTGTCCTTGGTCCTTGGGCCCCTTCGGGCCATCCTTGGTGCCCGCGGGGGGGCGAGGGCAGGAGGACAAGCTAGGTGCGCTCGCTCCTTATCTGACATCCTATCCTTACTTCGGGCATGTCCCTCTACAGGACGAATATTCAAACACAGTAAAACCATAGTCGAGGGACGATGTTTTAAACTGTGCTTGAACATGTTGGTGCATTTTCGGATTTTTTTTTATTTTCATCCAAAATTCCCCTGTAGGGGGACATGCCCGACCTAATCCGATCCCTCCCTCACATCCGTTCCAACGGCGCTGATTTTTCTTTTGTCCGCTGACGCGTATATCAGAGCCGACCTGCGGCTCACACAGGAAGACCACTTCGTGTCATGCGCAATCGGGAAGGGGTGAGCTGCGTGCACAGGATGTGGGAGATCGTTTTTTATTAATTGTTTTGCCGATCGGCGCGGGCCCTCCAACCCCCCTCCCCCCCCCATGGAGCCTGTTTCGAGCGTGTGGGGTTTCCCCCAGAGGCCGCACTCTTGCAAACAGTCGCACTAAGCAGAGGTCTGGAGCCAGACCCCCCCTCCCCCCTTCCCGTTGCCGCCTAATGACGAAACGCCGAATAAAGACAAACGCTCACGAGATGACGGGTGAGCAGGAGCATAGACGGGAAGAAAATGATGAGGACGAACAGCAGAGCAGCAGGAACTAACGCGGAAGGATCGGGGGGGAAAGGAACGCAGGACCGGGGGAATGCGGAGGAGAGGACATGAGGGGGGCGTCCACGATGAAGGAAGATTCGGATTCAGAATCTTTGGCCCGCGCTGGATACGAATAACAGCAGCAGCAGGAACTGGAGCGGAAGTAACGGGAGGAACATGCGGACCAGGGAATGTGGAGGGGAAATGTTGGGGGGACCACAATGAAGCAAGACTTGGGTCGATAAAAATGGTCCGCGTTGGGGCGATAGCGCCATTCTGAACGATAGGAGTAACGCGCAGATCCAAAGATCTGGTCTACGCTGCAGCGGGAGTGTTAAAGGAGGACACCGCGGACAAAAGCTAACGCGACAGTGGAATCACCATTGAGAAGGGCTGGGAACACTGCAATTGGCAGAGAACACGGACATGTTGCCGGAAGTGTAGAAATCGAGCTCAAGATGAAGCAAGGTCGATTTTGTAGAATGACCGGCAGTATTCGGATTGGACAGCGCACAAGCAAACACAGCTAGTGCACACCATGTGTGTAAAGAAGCAACGCGCCGGATTGGGAAAACATATCGGAACGACACCATATTTGAATCCTTTGTGGAAAGAATGCGCTGAAGTAGAGCGGGTCACCTTTTCATCAGGTTCGGGGGGGTGGACAGGAGAGAACTATTCATATCGTATAATTGTGGAGGAGGGAGGAGGAGGACGAAGTGGAGGAGGAGGAGGAGGTGGAGGCGAACCGCCGCCTTGGGCCCTCGTTAGACGCTCGTGGGGCGCTTTGGGGGTCTCTTGGGGCCCTTTTGGGCCCTCTTGAGGCTCTCGTGGGACTCTTGTGGGAGCCGAGGATCGATCGAAAGAGGGGGGTCGATGCCCCCCTCCCATCAACATTGCATTTTTTTAGCGCTCTTGGGCCGATCTTTGACGTTATTGGGGCCATTTCTAGGGCCTCTTGGACCCCTCTTGGGGCTCTCTTTGGCCAGATGGGGGCAATCCTGAGGCCTCAAAATCGTATCGGAAGCGAAGAGGCGAGAAGGCAACAATCAGGGCCTCTCGGGGCGGTTTGGCGGGGGTTTCGAGAGCACTTGGATACGTTTTGCGGCCTTCGTCGGGCCCCCTGAGTTTGTGGGATCGGGGGCGGCAAAGAGGGGGGTGATGACTAGGGGGGGTGGATATCATGGCGGGGGCCATGATATTTCCTCAGATTTCATGGCGCCTCTTCTGATTCCATTCCGTCCCTAGCCCCCCCCCTGGGCCGCGCACGTGCCGCTGGTCATGACTTGCACCCCCCCTCTTGGACACCCCCCTCGGAATGAACCATGAACCATCCTCCATGGCCGCTCCCGATGAACCATCCTCCAGCAGCTCAGCGCAAGGACCTGGAGCGCATCACCATTCTCAAGGCTTGGCGAAAAACGGATCTTATCACGGAGCTCCGTGGAAGCGACGTAGCAGGCGTACGTCGAGGCAGGAGATAGAGGACACGATCGCGAACTTCTGCGACGAACTGTGCGATTTTACCAACGACTGCGACGCGCTCACCATCGACGACCAGACGCCTCACCCCATTCCGCCAGACACAACACGGGAGCTAAACGCAGCCATTTCACAACACAAGCTGGGGAACTGATTTGACATTGCGGGGGTCACAGCAGAACATATCAAGGACCAGCATGCTCTGCTGCGGCTTTCCACCGCTGTCGTACAAACAAATGCCCCAACACCAAGCTGGCGGAAAACAGTCATCCCATGAATCCCCAAATCCGGTGATCCAGCTCTCCCGTCGGCCTGCACAGTCCCCATGTTATACGTGCTCTTTAGCAGACCCCTGCACAATAGGCCTCAGCCCACAATGGAGCAGCACCAGCCAGACGACCAACCAGCGTTCAGACTTGGCCGCGACACACTCGACCACCTCGACACTTTGTACACACCCTGCGCGAATGTGCAGCATAATGAACTCAAGCAGTGCGGGTGGCTGCACTGGTTTCCAAGAAAGCCTTCGACACCGTGGAGCACCACTGCTTCTGGGCGGCGCTTCGTCACCAATTTGTTTCTCTAGCACGCATCGCCCCACTCCAACGCATGTGCCACGACCGAACAGCATCGGCGCGCATTGACGCCGCCAGCAAACTCTTCAATCCCCGGCGCGGCACAAAACAGGGAGACCGATTAAGCTCGCCGCCGATGGACTTTCAACGCGCTACTACAACGCGCCCTTTAAACACTCATCCGCGAACGGCAGAAGCGACGGCGGGGCCGGCATTTGATGGGCAGGGAGACCTCCGCTGTCACAAATCCTCGTTGTGCGGACAGCCTATTGCTTCGGGGCCATTTTCTATTGAATCTCATGGAGATGCGCGCGGATTGGACGCCCACCTGGACAATGCAAACAACACATGGGCAACCAATCCCAGGCACCGAGCACGCAAAGTGGACATTTCAGAGATGGACATCTACGTCCTTCCACGCAACGGCACGAACAAGCACCTGGGTCGAACGATCGCCTGCCTCGGCGCCGCTTTGACTGACATCGACCGACGCATCCAAGCCGGCCGGCCATGTTTCGCGTCCCACAGAGAAGAATTCACGAGCGGGCATTGCCGTTGACGCCGCCGACTGCGCCCCCGCCGCCGCGCAGAGCGCAGCGGTGCGCGGTCGGAATGGTCATTGGCACGCTTCGAAGGCGCATCGACGCAGCGCGATCAGCAATCGCCCCCGCGGGAAGTCACCGCGACAACGACGATCGCCCCCGCGATCAATGGCCCGATTTTCGATATGATCACCAAGCACGTAGAAACCCGGCCCCCCCGCCCCGTCGCGACGACGACGACGGCGACGAGGTGCCTCCCCAACGCGACCGAACCACCGGACTTTATGTGGAGGGATGGTTTGATTTCGCCCGCATGAGCGCTCGCATTGCAGGGCAGGAGAGTTCGTGCGACGCCGCAGCTTCCCCGACGTCGTGCGCGCGCGCCCTCGACTTGCACGGAGGAGGGCTGCTTAACTAGCCCATCGCCTGGCGAGCCGCTGGTCGCGGAGAGAGTTGAATTGGAGCCCCAGCCAGGATGACAGACAGAAGGTGTGGATATATCATGGCAGACAACAGTAAATGCGGCGCGGCGACGTGCGGATGTTCTTACAAATTGTGGACCAGCGAGGCGACGATTACACTCGACGCGACGCGCGAGACGCCGCGCGGCCGCGACGTCGCCATGACCGCGACGTCGACGATGCAAGGTGGTTGCGAGCGGTGGCGCAAGCGCGGCGGTCTTCGCGCCGGGCAGATTCTTGCAGGGTTTGGCATTCTGGCTTCATCCTCTCTGGCCGAGCCCTTTTTATTTTGCGGTTTCTGTTCTGCACCGCGTCTCGCCTTCGCCGCGTGGGCGGTTGGCAGGCGGGTATTTCTTGCGCGGCTTGAGGTGTGTTCGTCATGCGTCGTCCATCTACGTTCATAATATGTTCGTGCTCTCGTCAATGGATGCGCGGCCCGACCCTGCGACGCCTGCGCGGGGCGCGATCCGTGCCAATGCCCGATGCTCGAGGTCGCAGCTTTGCAGGGTTTCTAGGGGCTGCGGCCTCGCGCGCCCAGCTCGAGCCGGCGCAGGCGCCGG